GGATGGACTGATGTCAGTCATAGCTAGCCTGCATACCGTGGCTTCCATGTTGGTAAGCTGCGGAGTAGAAATGGGCGAGCAGTGAAGTGTCTTCTTGTAATAAATGGCCGTACCGCCGCCTCGGCGGTCGGGTCTGTCATTACGAAGAAGAGAAATTTTTAATGGAAAGGCCTTTAGTGTCCTTAGTTTTGAAATTAGTTTCCTGTAGGAGGAGGAAATCGGCTTCACGATTTCGAAGAAAGAGCTTAAGCTCTGGGAGGTTATTTCGCAAACCACTAATATTAAAGGATACAAGCGATAAACCCTTAGGTTTGATACGACCGTGAGACCTTGGTAGAGCAAACTGCTCTGTCATTGTGAAGTTAAGTTAACTTAACTTACAACGAGCACAAAAGATTATGATGCTCTACAAGAGCGAGAAGGCGGTCCTGAGGGGACCTCGCAGCGCGCAATTTGCGTGCTAACACAGCGATTTTCCCAACGTCGATGTTCGTAATAGCGGAATACACCGTCTTTAGGTCATCAGCCATTGAGGGCAGTGATTGTTGTGGGGCGGCGGATGTCCGCGGTGGGTCTGCCTTTTTGGGCCCCAGGGAAAGACTGGAGGGTGCATAGGCTGAGAGAAGCCCGGAGGGGGCCGAATAATGCCCTGAATGGGCCTAGGGGGACCCTGAGAGGTCCGAGAGAAGCCCATCCAGCTGAGAAAGGCCCTGACGGGGCATCCGTTGGTAGAGCCGGGAATGAGCGGTCATTGACCGGCGGTGGAGCTTGCCTACTGGGGCGAGGATGAGGTGCGCAAGGGCCGCCTCTGTAGTTTGCCGGGTGGCGCGGGTGACACACGCGGGTGGGGATTCGGTGTCTTTGGGCCGAGGACACTCTTTAGTGTTGTGGGGTTCAAGGCACTTAACGCACCTGGGTGGGGTGGAGCAGTTGGCCGCCGCATGACCATATAGCTGGCAGCGGTGGCACTGCGCCGGGAACCCGCGCCTATGTGGGGGCTCAACCCTCACTCTCGACAGGCCACACTGTGCGTACCTGCCGGAAGATGGCTTTTGCCTCCGGCACGTTGGTTAAAATTACTAGGGCAAGAGAGAACCTCTGTCCCGTTCTGTTGTGCATTTTGTGCACGGCTTCTACGGGGAATCCTTGGGACTTAAGGTCCTCGAGGATTTCCTCGTTGGAGAATTCGAAGGGGACGCCGCGGATGACGGCCCTGACTTTACGCTCTTCCGGAAGAGCGTATGTATGGTAAGATACTCGTTCGGCTGTGAATAGCCTGGTGAGACGACGGAAGTCATCGATTGAGTTGGGGATAATTTTAATAGCCTCCCCGAGGTTTATAGCGTGGTCATACTTAATTCATGCGTTGTAGCAGGTTTTGGATAGTTCGGTGAATTTTGCCTTGTCTCTTAGGAAGACAGGGGGCGGGACTTGCTTCTTAGCAAGTGTAGGGGCACAGCGGGAAGCTGGCTTAGAAGGTGGGGCGATGTCTAACGACATTAGGGGAGCCTTAGCAGCGGCGGGGGCAGAGACGGCAGCGGGAGCTGCGGGTTTTGAGGCAGCAACGGTGGCTGCGGAGGTTGAAGGAGCGGCAGGGGCTGCTGAGACGGGAGGGGTGCGGTTTTTCGCGGTGCGTTTACCGCCGCGCTTTGATGTAACTGGTGTAGGACAAATCCCCGGTTCCATCGGAGTCACAGGACTCCGATGAACCGGTGCCAGAATTGGTGGCGGGCCTCTTCCGGGAGGCCGACGCAGAGGACTCGGACTCGGAGCATGCGTACTCCATATCTAATGGGGCGAAAGAGTTCTTGGACTCTAGGTAGGCCGCTAAAACGGGCGGCGGTTGAGCTGCCTGAGGGGCATAAGAGGCAATAGTTGCCACGACTGCGGCGAGAGCCGAATTATCCAGCCTGTTAAGGCCTTCAACAATAGACCCAATAAGGTCTTGTTTGGACATGATGCTGGGTGGAAGAGACGTATTTGAAACGGAGGGGGCTGGGGGATGCTGTTCTGAAAAGTACAGAGACGTTCTGTACCTAAACAGTAAGGGCGGGATTACCGTTCCGTAAGGGAAAGAACGGGACGTTCTTATTCAAGGAGTAATTGCCCCTGTTCTCAAAAGAACAGGGCCTTGCTCTGAAAAGAGCAAGTAACTCCCTAGAAACAGTATACACGTACACGTTATACAATAAATAACGAAAACAAAATTAGAAATAGTTAACAATAAAAATAACAATAACAAGCAGAGGTCAGTCAAACCTCCCCGCCCGAAGACAGGGGGGCAAGAACTGTTAGCGAAAATGACTCACCAAAGCGTCGACGCTGTACAGCGCGAGCAGGACAGCGGAGGCGCGAGAGCGCGGACTACCTGGACACAAACCGCTCGGGAGCGGTGCCACAGGCGGAATGAGCGGCGAGCCAAAACAACTGCCTTTTATACAGGCTCGCCGCTCACTTAGCGGTTAGCCACCGTAGAGTCTATATCACCTGAGGATGCCTCGTCTAGAGGCGAAACACGTGTCGTGTTGTCGTCCGTGGTGTGTCTTACCTAGTGTAGTGGTGTTGGGAGTAGTGGTGCTGCGATTAGTGGTGACGGGGATAGTGCACGCAATTGAGGGAGGGCGGGAGGTGCTCTTCAAACTAGGTAAGACACATAATTTTATTTTATCTAGCGGATGTACGCAAAGTAATTGTTTGGCAAATTTAATATAATGGACTTCCGCAAAGTAACGCCTGATTCTATTAATTATATCAAGGTCGTAAAGAACTTGGAAAAGAAGGAGAAGGTAAAGAACTTGGAAGAGAAGGCCAAATTGGTCTCTAAAAAGCTTGGCGTGCTCACCAGAGCGGGACTTTCATGTCGGCACACCGCCTGCAACTTTACAAGGCGCAGGTTCGGCCGCACATGAAATAGTGTTCCCATCTCTGGGCTGGGGCTCCCCAGTGCCAGCTCCTTCCTTTTGATAGCAGCGCAGAGCTGTTCGAATTGTCGGCGACCGAACTCTTTCCGATCGGCTTGACTCACTGGCACTGCGAAGAGATGTTATCTTTGTGTATCATTGCATATCTTTGTGTATTTTATCGCGGTTACCACGGGGAGTGCTCTGAGGAATTTGCACTAATTCCAGCCGCACAATTTCACCATCGCACATCGCGACAAAACTCGCGATACCATCATACCATATGGATGACTGGCGTTCCACCACTGTGCGATTTAAACGAAGTTTTTTTCTCGCACAACTTCCTGGTGGAATCGACTACCACCAGAAATTTTTCCGAATCGATACGACTTAGGGACCTTCAAGAATAGAGCGTACTCCTTTTTAAAAGGCCCGCAACGCAACTGCAATTCCCCTAGTGTTGCAGTTGTTCTGGGCGGCAGTAATCACTTGCCTACAGGTGAGCCGTAAGCTCATTTGCCCCCTCTCCTACAAAAAAAAAACCACAAAAGTAACAATAATTTTGAGTGAAACTCGCTATCGGTATTTTACACCAAGAATTCGTAAATATTTCTTAAAACAAAGTCGAGCATCCTGAATTCTATCTACGATTTTATCAACATCTTATGCCCATCTTATATGTGTGCAGAGAATCTTTAGTCTTTAGACAATCGTGTGTAGAAACATTTGCTGATTTGCACTATACTAAACAGGAAACTCTTTCTGAAGTTGTAGTTTAGTAGTTGTTAGAGTAGTTGTAGAAGAATTAGAGTTATGAAAACAAGATGTTATATCATTATTAACTACATTGAAAAATAAAGGACCCAATATTGAGCCTTGTGGAACCCCTGTTATTAATGCTGCATAAGTTTCATACATTAGTTGACAGAGCATGGTTTGAGAACCAAAAAAATTATTACAGGTCTCACGGAGTTGGTCCGATACAATGTCGGGTTCTGAGTGGTTAAAGAATTATCAGTGAAAGCCTTATACTATCTAGGTTCTTATCAGGAAGATGCTGTTGCCTATTTCTTTTTTCGGTTCCTTTTGATCTTATTTTTGATTTTACTAAAAATAATCGTTATCTGAAGATATTTCTAATACGATGACGTTCCTATCCCACAAAAGCATTTCCAGTTTAATAGGATGTTTTTTAGCTTAAAGAATGCTCCAGCAACTTTCTTCCTTCCTTTGGCGTCCAGGGTTCCAGATGTTTCGTTTACTCAGATGACTTTGTGATATATTTCTATGATTTAACTGTTATATACAAAATGTAAAAAAAAATAAAAAAAATAATAAAAAAAATGTAAAAAGCTGTATTTGGCATATTCCGAAAATTTTATCTTAAACCTGAAAAATGGGATCGCATACGGTATTGAGAGCCAAGATATTTTGGAGAGTCGTAGTAGCTCAGGGGTTAAGTGCTACGCGAGCGACTACCGTTTTATCCCGCCGGCACCAATGAAATTGTAAATTGTAATTTTAAGTGCTGATTTAGTACGTGCTCGGCGTTGAAGGAAAACGTCGTGAGGAAACCTGCAAGTCTGAGTAATAAGAAAAAAAAATATTTCGAAGACATGTGAAGTTCGTCAACACGCATTGGGCCAGCGCGGCGGACATTTCTTTGCTCTGAAATCCTGTCAGAAATGAGAGGAGGTCTGTGCATAGCAGTGGGACATATATGAGTATAGGTTGTAACTTTAATTAAATTTATATGATATTGCGTGTCCTTGCGATGCAGCTGTACCGTAGTGTAATGTAGCTGTACCGTGCTGTACTGTAGCTGTACCGTGCTGTACTGTACCGTACTATACTGTACCGTACCGTACTGTACCGTACTGTACCGTACTGTACTGTACTGTACTGTACCATACCGTACTGTACCGTACTATACCATACTGTACTGTATCGTACTATACTGTTCCGTACCGTACTGTACAGTACTTTACTGTACCGTACCATACGGTACCGTACTGTACCGTACTGTACTGTACCGTACCGTACTGTACAGTACCGTACTGTACTGTACCGTGCTGTACTGTAGCTGGTGTCGCGGTGCAGGTGCATGCTGGCGCACCGCGCGCGCGCGCACCCGGGCGCGGGCGCGGTGGCGCTGCGCTGCCGCGTGTGCGCGCGCGCCTTCGCGCACACCAACTCGCTGCGCCGCCACCTGCGCTCGCACACCGGCGAGCGCAACTTCCTCTGCAGCGTCTGCGGCAAGGCGCTCTCCTCCGCCGAGCACCTCAAGTTCCACATGCGCATCCACACCGGACACAAGCCCAACGTCTGCAAGTACGTACGCATGTGTGCTCCACGCTCCAACATGTTTGACAAATTTTACGTTTTATTCCTACGGACTCATTAAACATAAACTTTCCGCAAACTTATGTTCAAACGGGCTTGACAGACATCAGATTCAGTTCTGACTCAGTTTTCCTTATCAACGAATCTTCGTCGACCGTCGTCGTTAGACGTGTAATATTAACGTCAGTCTACACCAAAATGACGCGTTTGTTTGAGAATCACAACAAGATGTCAAACATAAATCCAGTCAAACACGTAATTTATTCGTCAAACACTTCGAACATAGCTGCAAACTATCAAATTATTTGTCAAACGCATAAAATTTGTAAAATTCTTGGAATGTTTAATTACCGCTTAACAGAATTAATCAACCCGTTTTGTACAAGGTGACTGTGGGAAATTGCAGAAAGATTTTACATTATACCGGGTGTTTGTGAAACGCCCCCGAAAACGAAGACAGATGAAAGTAGGTACTACACCTTAGAACATGGGTCACAAATAAATTTGATCCCGAGGAAAAAAAAATCATCTTTTCACAACGTTTTATTAACTTTATTCACACTCCATCATGTTAGTACAGCTAAATGAAACGATAATTTCATAAAAAAATCATGAAAATACTTAACCAAAAAACTGGCAGTGAAACTTAAAAAAAACATCACCTGATCAACCTCGTGGGCGCCGAACTCTTTTGGGTCCCGTCACGTAAAAACGCTGGCCTTGAATCTGGGCACTGAGCGATTTATCGATCAAATTGGTGGTACGAAGTTTCATTTTTTAGTTTTTATTTTTCATTTATATTTTCTTATACAAAATCAAAGATAACGATGAAATAGTGTTTATAATTGTGTCAGTACTGAGTACCCAATTAGGTACGTTTATTAATTTCAATAATTTTGTAGTAAAAAACTGCTTGTTGCGTCAGGGTACAATTGATTGTGTAATTGTATTAAAAATGACAACCATAACTTTTAAATTCCATATGAAGACTAGTCGTAGGGATAAAACTTATAAATTAAATAAACGTTGGCGATGTCTTAACATACATAACGCTTTAACGGTGTGCGAAAGGTTCCAGTGCTTCAAGGACTTTACCTTGTGCGCATTTGTTTTAGCGGAATTGATTAATAATTTTAGTTTTTGAGACCGTGTTGACCATCACAAGAGACAGTTCAATTGTTTTGTTTATTAAATTATTGTCGTCATTACTTGTTATTTATTACTTAATGACATTATTCTTGTTGTTACGTTTTAAGTTTCTTGTTTTGTTTTTATAATGCCTAACGCGTACGTTTATAGTGCTCGTGAATACGGCAACATGTTAATGTGCCTTGGAGAAGCTCGCGGGAATGCTTCACTTGCATTGCGAATTTACCGAGAGAAATTCCCGAGCATTTCAGTGAATGTTGGAAAATCGGCCCATTGCTCTGGTAGCGGCAGGAGGTGGAAGTCAAGTGGCTGTTCAGTCAGAGGAGCGCATTTTAGATGCCGTTCGCCGGAATCCGAACCTAGGTACACGAAGTATCGCTAAATTGTTAAGGCGTCAGGATGGTACAAGTGTGTCATACTGTACAGTTCACAAAGTATTAAAGCGTAACCGAATGAGCCCATACAAAGTGCAAGCTTTAGTTCCCGGCGATCACGAACGCTGGCGAGTTTTCTGCCGTTGGTTATTAGACCAGCAACAACGTGTGCCTGGTTTCATTGAGCACGTCATCTGGACGGACGAGTCGACATTTACTAGAAACGGCCTGTGGAACCGAAGAAATACACACGTGTATTCCGAGGTTAACCCGCACGCTGTTCGACAAACCTGGCACCAACCCCGATGGTCGGTTAACGTATGGGCAGGTTTATTTAAGGATCTCATACTAGGACCAATGTTTCTGCCACAGCGACTTAACGGACAGCGATACCTGAACTTCATAAATTAACAGTTGGTTGACATTTTAGACGACCTATCGTTGGCTGAATATCGCCGCACGTGACTCCAGCATGATGGTGCACATCCACATGTCGTGAGGTTCGCTCGTGAGTGCCTCAACGAGCAATTTGATGATCGCTGGATCGGCAGACTAGGACCACACGCTTGGCCACCTCGCTCACCAGATCTGACCCCGTTAAACTTCTTTCTGTGGGGGTATGTGAAAGAAAGGGTTTTTAATCGTGAGTGTGATAGTGCTGACGAAATGCGCCAAAAGATCGTGGATGTTTTCGACAAACTACGTACGGACTGTGTCGAAGACCACACGATGATGCACCGCCTGCATGAGGAGATACAACACCGAGCCCCAATTTGCTAGCGCTAGCTGCGGGCCGCGCGAATTCGGCGTTCGCGCGATCATTGACACCTAGTCCGCTGATTGTAATTCAGTAATTCCGCTGCTGGTTTTATGTTTAAGTATTTTCATGATTTTTTTAATGAAATTGTCGTTTCATTTAGCTGTACTAACATGATAGAGAATGAATAAAGCTAATAAAACGTTGTGAAAAGATGTTTTTTTTTTCATCAGGACGATTTTATATTTCACCCATCATCAAAGGTATAGTTGCTACTGTCGTCTGTCTTCGTTTTCGGGAGCGTTTCAAAAATACCCTGTATAGCTTGTTTTTAATGTACTTTAAAAAAAATTGACAAGTAGATTATAGTCCACTTAACGAACCTTGAACAAAGAAGACTATGAACTGAGTCAGAACTGAATATAAACAAAGTATGTTGCAGATCTGAGAACTGAAATTGACTGTAACGACTAATTTGCAGAACTTGCGGTAAGGGGTTCGTGAAAAAGTGCAACTTAACGCTACACGAGCGCGTACATTCGGGTGAAAAGCCCCACGTGTGCTCGCACTGCGGCAAGGCCTTTAGTCAGCGATCCACGCTCATTATACACGAGAGGTACGTGAGTATTATAATCATCATCGCGTTACGTAATGCAACATGCAACTGACTATCGTAATAATTTCCGGTAAGATTTTGTTAAATAAATAAAATGAAATAGAAAATAAAATAAAACAAACACTATCCGGCTCGAAGGACCGATAACTTTAACACGCGTAATAAATTGTAAAATCTAAACTTGTCTTACCAAAGTATAGGTTTCATAAATTTGGTGACTTATTTTTAGGTGATAGGCGTTCCTGCATGGCTCACCAGAAACTTTCCATTGAATCACATTCATAATTGCTTTGTAAAGGCCAATTTTGAATCAAAAGATTTTGACTTTGAGATGAAGTGACAATCTGGTGAGACATGTAGGAAGTCGATGATGCTGGATTAGGAACGTGTGGCAGTGGACTTGTGAGGAGTTGTAATGGTAATGATTGTGTCTATATTCATATTAATATATTAAAAAGTGTATTTTTAAGAACTGTTTTGAAAACATTTCTCAAAAAGGTTTGTTTTTTTTTTATAGAAGAGGGGGCAAACGAGCATGCGGCTCACCTAATGGTAAGTGACTACCGCCGCCCATGAACAACCGCAACACCAGGGGAATTGCAGATGCGTTGCCGGCCTTTTAGAAAGGTGTAAGCTCTTGAAGGTTCCTAAGTCGTATCGCTCCGGAAAATTCGCTGGTGGTAATTGATTCCACAAGGAAGTTGTGCGAGGGAGAAAACTTCTTCTAAATCGCACAGTGGTGGACCGCCAATCATCCAGATGGTATGGATGGTAACGCGAGTTTTGTCGCGATGTGCGATGGTGAAATTGAGCGGCTGGAATTAGTCCGAACAATTCCTCAGATCACTCCCCGTGATAGATGCGATAAAATACGCAAAGAGATGCAACATCTCTACGCAGTGCCAGTGTATCGAGCCGATCAGAAAGAACTCGGTCGTCGACGATTTGAACCGCTTTGCGCTGGATGCGGTCAAGTGGAAGAAGCTGGCACTGGGGTGCCCCGGCCCAGAGATGAGAACAGTATTCCATGTGGGGCCGAACTTGCGCTTTCTAAAGTTGCAAGCGATGTGCATGAAATACAGTCTCGCTCTGCTGAGCACGCCAAGCTTTTTAGAGGGCAATTTGGCCTTCCCTTCCAAGTGACCACGAAACTGCACACTATTCGATATGTCGACACCAAGGATTCCGATACTAGCTGAGGCAGCAAGGCGAGTGCCTTGAAACTGAGGAGAAACGACAAAGGGGTTCTTTTTAGCGGTAAACGCGCAAACTTGTGTCTTCTGGGGATTGAACTGGACTAGATTTAGTCGCCCCCAATCCGAGACTTTGTTAAGCAAAGACTTGACTTCAGACACAAGTTTGTCCCGGTACTCAGCGACGTTTTTCCGAGAAATATTGACACGGCCTGTATATAAGGCGTCACCAGTGCTGTCGTCTGCATAGCAATGAATGCTACCAGTTAGCAACATATCATTAATATGCAGGAGAAACAGCGTTGGTGATAGCACGCAGCCTTGTGGAACACGAGCGATAGGCTTGAAATCAGAGCATGCACCGTCTACTACGACCTTGATGCTCCGATCAGCAAGGAAACTGGTGATCCATTTGCTCAATTTCTCGGGAAGCCTATAGGAAGGAAGCTTCGAAAGAAGCGCTTTGTGCCAGACCCGATCGAAGGCCTTCGCTATGTCCAAACTAACGGCCAATGCCTCCCCCTTGGACTCTACTGCCTCCGCCCATCTATGAGTCAGATAGACTAGAAGATCACCAGCTGATCGACCTCGACGAAAACCGTACTGGCGGTCACTAATCAGCTGGTGATCCTCAAGGTACCTCATGAGCTGGCAGTTTATAATGGATTCCATTATTTTGGAGAACAAGGAGGTGATGGCAATAGGCCTGTAGTTGGACGGGTCTGAGCGGTTGCCTTTTTTAGGGATCGGGTGGACCAAAGCTGTCTTCCATGAATTCGGGACCACGCCTTGGGAGTAGGAGTACCGGAAAAGACGCGTTAAAACCGGTGCCCACTCCGGAGCACACGTCTTCAGCACAACGGGAGGGACTCCATCGGGCCCACTCGACTTGCTGACGTCCAGGGAGAAGAGTGCTTTACGAACCGAGCGCTGTGTAAACCGCACATCCGGCATGGAGCACTCACATCGCGGGATGGTCGGCGGTGTGTTCCTCGCGTCATCTACAGTCGAGTTGGACGCAAAAAAAGAGCTCAACAGATCGGCTTTCTCCTTTGCGGCATGGGCCAGTGAGTCGTCCTCTCTGTGCAGAGATGGAAGAGATGGCTGACAGAAGTTCCCTTCGACAGCCTTGGCGAGAGACCAGAATGCACGGGTTCCCGAAGGAAGGCGAACTAGCTTCTCGCCAATTCTGCCGATGTGCTCAGACCTAGCCTTGGAAATGACGCTTTTGAAGGACCTGGAGGCGGAGTTATACTTCTTTTTAAGTGCGCTGGTGTTTACATCCCGAGACGTTGATGCGTCAGCCCAGGCCCGGTAGCACTCCTGCTTATAGCGTGATGCCATTTTACATGAGCGACCAAACCACGGCTGGGATCTACCACCGATGGGCACCACAGAGGATGGAATAAAAAGTTCCATACCCTGAAGTACCACATCAGCAACAGAATCGGCAACAACGCTGGGATCTTCCGGCGAGAAGCAAACCCGCCCCCAACGGTAGGATGCAAAAAAAGATCGCATCCCGTCCCAATCAGCTGACCTATAGTACCAAACACGGCGGCAAGCTGCAGATCGCAACTGCGATTGAAGCGTGAGCGGCACCGTACTCCGGATCAGACAATGGTCCGAAGAGCCCAGAGGGGCATCGACGGAGACCTGATATCCGTCCGGATCAGAGGTCAGCAGAAGGTCCAACAGGGAAGGTACATGGTCTTCCACATCTGGGATCTGCGTAGGCGAAGTAACCAGTTGTGTTAGACCATATGCCAAAGCAAAGTCATAGACAGATCTACCCGCATGATCGGTTAAACGAGAACCAAGCCTTTCAGCGTGGTGGGCGTTAAAATCACCGAGTATCACGATCTCTGCGGATGGGACCTGTAGTAGCACGGAGTCTGCAGCCATTTGGACGTGGTCGATGAGTCGGTCTGTGTCGGCATTACCGCTATGGGACCTATAGAGCCACCCGTAGACGCGGGGATGGTCGTCGCTGTCGCTGATGGACAGGTCCGTACCTTCAAGACTGTCGAAAACAGATGTCCTCTCTGACGTATACGCAAACTCCAGCCCGAGGCACAAAGGAGTGTTCCAATTTGTACCCCGGATAGGAGAGATATGAAGTATCAGCCGGAGAGGACACCTGAGTCTCGGTTAAAAAGAGCAAGGCCGGCTTCGCCGTCTCTAGATGGTAATGGACAGCGTTAAGGTTGGAATGAAGTCCCCTGATGTTGCAAAAATTCACGGATAGCGTGACAGGGGTCGCCTTGGTTGTATTGCTCCGCTTGCCCGGAGCAGCATTAGTCGCGAGCGGATTTTTGCCCCCCCCCCCCCAGAATACCCACGCTCAGGAGTGAAGTAGTTCGGTCGTGAATGCTCAGCGAGGGATTCTCCAGGGGTGCTGGTACCCTCCTGGGTTAGTCTTTTATTTAATTTCACTACCATGTTGATGGGGGGGGATTGGGCCTCCGGCCACCTGCACTCACCAAGCGCAACGCAAAGGTAAACCTACTTCACGCTGGTATTCTGTGAGGTTGTGGTACCACCCCGGTTCGAGCTGGCCCATCCGTGCGTCAGCAAAAGCTAACGCTTAGCGCTACCACTGTTGAAATTACACTGTTCTATTTATTGATTAAATATTTACTAATCTGTGTTACAATGATACAATTTTTTAAAATTATTAGTATAAATACAATTACACACATATATTGTGGATAAGTTCACAAAATAAAAAAAACGAGAACTAATGATAATGATTTACACGTTGCACTCTTGATGGCTATTAGCGAAATCCATTTACTGCGAAAATATGCAAAAGAGGCCAAGTTCTGAAATGACGACTTGACAATTGTTCAGCTAATTTACCACAGCCTCGGTGATAAAGGAATAACATAGTGATGAATCCTGTATTTTTTTTTTATAGGATCGGGTGACAAACGAGCACACAGTCCACCTGATGGTAAGTGGTTGCTGTGGCCCATAGACATCTAAATTTATCCTCGTTTGCGAATCAAAATGCAGATGCGTTGTCACCCGTGAGGACTAAGATGGAATGCCTCTTTTCCAGTAAATAGGTATCCGGTTCTCTACACTCACCATACGAAACACAGCAGTGTTAAACTGCTATTTTACGCTGGTATTCTGTGAGAGCGTGGTCCTTCCCCAGTCGAGCCGACCCATTCGTGCTACAACTATACTACTAATATAGCTGCAGCATGGTTCTGCCACGTATGTTTGAGGAATAAATTATTTTAAAGACTAAAAGCAACAAAGAAAGATGAACAATACGTACTTTTCAAGTAACGCTAAATCATGTTCAACTTATTGCAAGAAGACGCAATCACGCACACATGATTTTTTTATTGATTACTTTTATTCATTCATTACTTTTGATAAGCTGTAATTAATAATTGAAATTAAATTTGATAATGAAACAAAGTTTAATGTATATCTTGTGTCCCCTATGTAGTGAACCAACTTTATACAATTTACTCTTCTTATTTATAATCTATTAATAAAGACGTAGTTATGCAAAAATCCTTTTTCAACACGTACAGCTACTTTAGAAATAATGTTGCTTAAAATGAAATCTACAGGTGTCCCGTAAATAGTGGACCAATGTTATGGTAGTATATTGTACTAAGCCTAGTAGTTTTAAAATTATATATATATTGATATTACGTTGAAATTCTCATGCTATCTACACAAAATTCCACATTAAAATAAAATTATATTAAAAATAAAAAAGTATTTCTAATTAAAATGTTATTCATGCGTAGTTATCGGCAACATAAAAAATTTTAATGTGAA